ACATTTCTTAGCTCCAACTACTATCAGAAGAACCTTGAATAGATGACAAATTAGCAGCAATCTGACAAAATCTGACCAAAAAGAAACATCAAAAAATGTAAAACATGGAATAAACCTTTAAAGTGTGTGCCGATGAAGACAATAATTAATCAGACCAAAATAACTTCTGTACCTGGCTGTAAACATGTTAATTTCTGCTGGAAAAACTGGCATTTCTTGAAGAGGGTGTGTATGTTACTTCTTAGACTCCTGGAGCCAGCCTCAAGTGGACACACAAGGAACTGCAGTTTTTTTTTTTTTGCACTTCCACATTGGCTTCATCTTTCAACTCCGCTAAGGTTGGCGCTAAGCAGGAATCCACATCAAGTGTTTAATTTTAGAAGAGTAACACTATAATAGAGTATCAACGAGCAAAATCATGTATAAGAATAAACGGCCTTGTTACAAAAGTTTATTTAATACAACTCTACATGTGTGGATGTGGCTTTACACTCTGGATGTTTGCTAGAACTTTCTGGCAGGTTTAATGCCACTTATTTCTGTGTTTTTTCCCCAGGATACAAAATAAAATTGGTTTTGTTTTCACCAACAAACATGGTGTAGAAAACACCTGTGTATCATCAGTTTCGCAGTTCTATTTCCTCAGGTGAAGCCTATTTTAGTCCGATTTTATCACAACAAAAACTAAGGTAAAAATCTGTGTTCTCAAGGGGGTTTGTCTACATTCAGGTGCACAGATATGCCTCTTTATATTGGTCCTTTCCTGGTCCAGATGCCATTTGAGTCTCAGAAAAGACAGCAGACAGATACGTGACACAAATACTGACTGCTGAGCACTGTTTACATACTAAACTTAAGATTGTGGTTCTCTTCTGTTTACATACTAAACTTCAGATTGTGGTTCTCTTCTGTTTACATACTAAACTTCAGATTGTGGTTCACTTCCATGTGTCCTGTCTCAAATGTAGACAATGCAAGCAGATAGATACACAGGAAAGGAATGATTACAAATCAAGTGAAACATTAAGGAAAGAACCCAAATACAGACAACCCAAATACACGCAGACTGATACACAACATGAATTAATAATACAAAAAAAGTCTGGAGATAAGGAAAAGATAGGCAACCAAGAGTCAGAACCAGAAAGGCAGAACATTCAGACATACAAATTCAAAGGAGCAGGCAGAAAATCCCCAGATGTCAGGAGGGGATTCAAAGCCAGCCAGTAGGTAATAAGTTAATTTCAAAGTCTTTGTTCTTACACAACAAAAGCCAAAAATCAAAGGCAAGCAGCAATCGGCTACGACAATCAGGAGACTGACTTGAGAAAATGTAGGATTATCTGTTGTTTGATCAAGTCTGATCAAGTGAATCAATTTAGTGTGTAAAACTCTTTATTATGAAACTATTGTAAGGCTCTGTCATTTCTAACTGGAGAGCAATTGTTATCCTCATGATCCATTATTCAATATCAGTTTACTTTGAAATTGGCCCCAGGAAACACTCTTATTGAGTTCAATGAATGCCTGTAAATTCAACACCCGGCATAAGGGGAACATTAACATTGTTAAGATTACTATAAATAAAAGGGGCATTAAGGGGGGAAACTTTTAACAAAACTGGTTGTCTGAAATGGGGTCTGAACTCATTTACATGAATGAATTCAAGATACAAGCCTCCCCTGATGACAGAGAAAAACAGAGTGTTAATTAATAAAAGATATGATAAATTAATTAATAAGCCTGATAGCAGCACTCATTAGAGTGAGCTGGGAAGTGAATGATTCACTGGTTAAGTCAGTCGGATTGTCAGGGGATCAGTGAGTGCTTTCAGAGCGATAAATTACTCCTTTAGAATAGATCAAAGCTAAAAGCGTTGTATCAAATAATAAATGTATAGGTTTACGTCAAGTCATTTTTCTATGCTGTAAATGTTGTGATTTAAAAAAAAACCCAGATTAATGTGATACAAGAAGCAACAAATGAATACAAGACATAAAGAAAACCACAACAAGAACATACACAAACACATTAAAACAACAACAAACAAACCAAAACTAGCAATATCACAGTCAGCAGAAATAGCAGAATAAATGCTGTCATGTACTTATTCAGTTATATTTGATATCTGCACACACACACACACAACTTCAACCGTTCTTCCTTCAGGGCGGCCATTCCCTTACAAAAACCTCAAGAGTACCTCTTGGTACATGTGATTTGAGGAGCACAAACCCTCTTTTCCCTCATATACCTTTAATTACCGCAGGAAAAATCGTTTTGCAGTAGTATGAAACTAAGAATAACATTCCAGAAGAAGCATTTGTCTTAACCAGAGTGAGCACTAACCGTGTATATTGTTTTATTCACTATCTTTTCACAGAAATCAAAGTTTTCTGCACATCTTACATGTCACTGTAAAAAAAATACATCACCCTCCACTATACACCAAACAACCTCACAGACAGGCTGGTGAATAGAAGCAAATAAAGTCTTTATAAAAAAGCCTTTACAAAGTGCTCATCAAGGGTCATTGAACTACTTTAGTATGGTGCTTAAGTGGATTAAAGAATCAGGCCCAGTGATTCAGAAGGGAAACATGAGGTTTTATCTCCTTTATTTTTAAAGAGCTACCCACAGATTTTGACATTCCTGACATTTACAAGATGTTCTGTTTGGTAATATGAGCCTATTTAGAATTGGTGGTCTATTTCCTTGCTTTCTAAATCAAACGAACAGACGTACAACCAAGGTAACCCATTCTACAAGACCAAACAAACAACAAAGCAAAACCAAAAATACTCAAATTTAATAGAGAACAAGGATGACGCTGAGCCTCTAAATCTGCACATCTGGGATCATCTGTCCTAGAAACACCTGAAAAAAGCTGCTGTGAGGCAGGCTTACAGATATTTGAGGTATAAACAGACCATAGACAAATGAATCTGTATGGTTTATGATGTTGGGCTACAGGTGAGTGGAGAAGAGCAAAGGGCAAAAAGAAAACTCAGAAAACCATGATCAAGGGGCCAAATCTGAAATCTAAAAGCACATGAGTTATAAAGCAAGGGTAAAATAAATAACCAGCTAGTCATCCAACAAAAAGTCGTCCCCCGATTTCTACCCCCAACTTTTCCTATCTCTCTTCAGCTGTCCTTTCAAATAAAGGCAAAATGTATAACTTGAGATATATATATATATATATATATATATCTCAAAGTCTGTATATTTGTGATTGAGAAAAGCAGTCTTGTTTTGAACAGAGATTATGTTTGTAACGCCTAATGAAAGCTGTGTCATGATTGGACGAATAAAGGCAAAGAAAGAGGTGACTGAAATTCTTAAAATTATAAAAGATGCACTGGTATTCAAACAACCAAAGATTTGGGTTTACTTGTGAAAAACCTCATGAACAGGAGGCCGACAATATTAAAAAATCATGTAGAAACTGTACACCATGACTAAATTCTGCACTGATTTATTACATGGTTTAGACAGGCTAATAAAATCATTCATTTAAGTTACTTAATGAGTCTGATTTAAGTGAATAAAGTGGTTAATAAACACAAACAACCATGGTAAGTTACACAGTTAGTGAATGTTTTCACAGGTGCTCTATTAGATCAACTAAGAAACTATGAAACATGTATGGCTTCTGCCCACAGCGCTATCGTTAGCTAGCTAACATTAGCTTCACAGCATATAATTACCCTCAGACAGAACATTTCAGGAGTGAGGATGAAATCATCTCAGCACTTTAATGATGGCAATGTGTGTTCTTGTGTCTGCCAATAAAAATGCAAGACGATTGTGTTTTTTGTTGTTGTAGTTTTTTATTCTTCATTTGCGAAATAAAGAGCTGTTGTTGAATCCTGATATGAACTTTGAAAATTGAAAGAAAAAAATACTTCTGAGAGGAAGCAGAGCAGACTGATTAACACAAAATCAACACACAGCTTGTCATGCTTCCAATATGGTTTGAGGCTTGTTATCTCATACATACACATGTGGAAATGGAAATATTAACCACTGGGATTATGAATAATTAAAATGAGACTTTCTTTAAAACATAAGCATTACGGTATTAAAACTGATGTGCCTGGAATCACACAAAGCTTTCTTTGAGAAACTTTATGGGTCTCTCACTGTGGGCTGTACCCCTATTACTATGGTAACAGTGTCACAGTGACATAATAGGTAGGCACTTCAGGCCCCAGCTTTTGTGATTCTGGTCTCAATGAGTGTGAAAAGTCCAGAAAAAAGGAAAGAAACACAAAAGGAGAAGCTGGATGTCTTTAAATATAATGACGGATCAGTACAATTATTCAGAGACATAGAAGCCTCATCATCATCCAACATTGTACGAGAAATGGCTTAAAATGACAACTCATTTGAAAAACTTGTTCTAATACATTTGTAGCAACCCTTATTCTAACGTTGAAGCAGATCTTGTTTATTAAAACTTCAAGTCAAAAATGTGGCAATGGTTCATTCAAGAGGAGTAAACTCTGACTGTGTGCGTAATTATTCCTCAGATAAAAGAAAAGTGGAGGAAGGCAGACATCGATTTGTGTTTCTTTTTGCGTGTTTCCTAAAACAGCATGTCGCCCTCAACTCTTGTCAGTCCGCTTGTTGAAAATGGGATACACAAAAAGAGTTGGCTCAACCCTATGAATACTTTATTTGAAATGTATTCCAAAAGTGCAAAGTGCCAGGTGCAAAAATGAATTTTAATGAAGGCTTCTGTCTGTCTCCGTAATTACTTCTTACATCCACACTGACTTACCCACATACACACAATTTACACATACACATACACAGAACAGGAATGCAATTATACAAAGCTATACTGAAACTTCCTCAGTTAGACTCACGCAATGTGGAGAAGATGCAAACAGGATGTATCAAAAATACATGCTTGCTTGCGTAACTGAAAAAAAAAACATAATGCAGACACACACACACACACACACACACACACACACACACACACACACACACACACACACACACACACACACACACACACACACACACACGCACACACACTCTTACATGCCATACACACGACACAAGACAATGAAATGTTTTTAAAGGCTTTGCTATTAGGCAGTTGTCTCATTTTGTTTGTTGTTTTTTTCTGCTGCTTCCATTGCTTTTCCAACCTCAATGGGACTCACCTCACTACATAATTAATGTAATTAAACAACCATTTAACCTGCCACTAAAACACTGAATTACTCCTAGTGAGAAATAGATTACTATTACTCGACATCCTCTCAGACAATCAAAGCAGCAGCAACCAGTGTGGCTGAACTCTGAATACACAAGTGATGCAGTAATGCTTGAAACACAAATTTTGTCCTTCTTTCCATGGCCTATACAATTGTAATGGTTTGCATGTTCAACGGAATCACATCCTCGAACATCTGGCAGAGGCAAAAATATCGATTGTACAATTTGTGTGCCTGCCTGGTTCCTGAGGAGTTACAGTTTGTGTAGGGCTGCTGCTTTTTTGAATCATGCTCTTAGCTGCTGTGCACATTTGGATTCAGTGTTTTCACAGTAAGGTTAACATAAAGTCTACAAAAGATGGTGGACATCGGAGTAGTCTTAATCCTGCCACATCCCATTTCAGCCCAAACAAACCTGTCCCATCCCAGGCCTTTTTCGGAGCAAAATAATCGAGTCTGTCCGAACCCTAAAAACAGCCACAAACGTAAGTTTCTAGCCAATTGGCCCCGACAAACAAGCTTTATTTCCCCTGAAATTACATTTTCTGTGGGACATATCGTTAAGTTTAAAATAGAAAGACATAGTCAAAAGGTCTGACGAGCTTGCTCTGACTGCTTCTCCTTTTTTTTGGCTTAGAGGGTGAAGAACCCTGCCCCATCTAATACGTGATAGAGAGCCTATTCAATACTACATACTGGCTGCTGTAATAGTAGATACAGTGATAACACCAGCCTGCACTTCAGACACTTGTGTTTCTATAGACGCTGGGTACCAAGCTTTTTCCTTAGGCGGCCCTATGCTGTAGGACATGTTTTTGTACCATTTGCAACAACTGGAAGGAGACGCTGGCCCTCAAAACAAGCTATATGTAGCAAACCCAACTCATACAATCCTAAATCTCCATGCTTAATGCACGAGTCAGGCTGCAACCCACCTGCAACCACTCATAGATTAGGAAGAAAGAAATGATTGAAAACAGAAATGACTGGTCTTTGTGTAACATAAAGAACTGTTTTTAAAATGTTGAATTAAACTGACTTCTTGTTTTCTGCAGTATTCTGCACCGCCCACTCTGTTGGACTTGTTTCTGTCCTGTCCCTTCCATGTGATGCACAGAGAGACTAACTCCAATCCTGCGTGGTCTCACAGACATCTTGTCTCCTCTGTTGTTTACACAGTGTTTCTACAGCTCATCCCGAGGGTGTGTGTCCTGCAGCCAGTGTTTGTAGACGGCCACAGGGTCTATGTTCCAGTGCTTGTGGAAGGAGACAGCCTGCTGCGAGGAGATCAGTGTCTCTGAATAGTCGTCTGGTCGGGCCTGAAACATCAAGAAGAAGAAGTGGTGGATTGTCTGTGCGTTGGTATTTCACGTCTGCTTAAGGACTCATTTTTGATTATTCAGGGGATTCCCAAACCTGCAAACAATTTCACCATTGCTCCAGGGGTGGGTCATTGTATAATCTGTTAGTTTTGCCAAATAAGAATTAGGTGTCATGCAGAGAATTGTCTGATACTAAATAATGGACTCAACAATATTTTCTCTTTTGACTCTGAATGAAAGTGGTGTGTTATTTTCTCTCTGCCCCTTGTGTCTTTTACTGTTTTATCTTGTTTTTGTTTATCATAGTTAGTGTGTGTATGTGTGTGTTTGTGTGGGTGTTTGCGCACATGTGTGTGTGTATTGTTTCCTACCTGGTGGAAAAGCGGGCTGTGAGTGATGGGAACACCCATCGAAGTGAAGCACCTGCCCAGCACCATGTCATCAGGAGCATCATCACTGAAACAGCCACAACCACTGGAGACTAACCTGGACACCGCCACCCTGCTGAGCACCATCCTGCACAAACACAACAGACTTTTGAAAAAAAAAAAAAAAAGGAAATCAACAGTAAATAATAAACAGGAGTTGGTAGAAACCCAACCAGAGCTAAAAAGGAGAGTAAACATTGGACTTATCAGTATCCAACACATCATACATATTTCATGTGTTGCAATATTAAATATGGTGCTAAAATGTATAACCTGTCTAAACATTTCCTGTGAAGCAGGTGCAATGATGAATTTGATCAAGTAAACAAATTCTCTGTGTACATCATCTAACTCTGGCAGTTAGTGTTTCTAATTCAAAATCGATAGCTATATTGCTTATTGAGAGGCTTTTGTCACTAGGCAACATTTTTTAATAATCTCTTCTTTTTATGAACAGATTTTTATTTTGGGCCTCACATGTTTTAATTCTATTACTTATCGTCTCAGAAAATGTGGTATTTACAAATAAAGGTGAAAGAATATGTATCTAAACACGAACAAGAATGTGAACGACTCTCTGATCCATGGGAAAAATCTCTGCTACATTTTAAAGACCTCAAAATGATACATCATTGTTCTCTTACAAAAACTGTGTATTCGGAAATAAAACAAATTTTAAATGATGTATGGTTGCGTACAGTTAAATGGAAGACAAAAAATCAAAGCTGCCAATGTTCAAACTTAATCAAAATACTTACTGTGTTACTGGCTAACTGACAACCAACGTATTGGATACAGTTGCAGTCAAAAGGCAACAAATAACTGAATGAAACAAAGTTAGCCGGCCACTCTCCTTCTCACCCTCCTCCTCCTGTCGTGTAGCTGTAGCCATTCTGAACCAAGCCATAGCCGTATTTCTCCCCCAGGCTCACTGCTTCCTTCGGGTTGTAGCAACGCAGGAGTCGTCTCAACCTGGGTAAACTATAGATGAGCAATAATCAACAGACAGAAGACAACTCATAGATCAATAAAGACACAAAACAAACTTCTAGCTACATGCTTAAAGACTCCATGGGATTGCAAGAGGATCAAAAACATTACTACATGTGTCTCTGTATTGCATTAGCAATCTTGCATTTTAGCTTTTTTCAAGGTTTGACATGTACACAAACATAATCCCGTAGATTGTCTCACTGATTCTGCCTGATTGAGCTTTTCTCACGGCTATGTGGGCATGCACAGTTTCCTGAACCTGTCCTGAATTATAAATAGTCAGTGGGTGAAAATGTCTGTAGTGCTTTGTGAAAGATAATTCAGTTAATCACATTATCCAAATAGACGTTACACAGGAAATCTTCCAAATGATTTTATTATCTTCAAAAACGTGTCTCCTAGTTACCTGACGAGTGTATCATCATCCACAATGAGCAGCCAATCAGCTCTGGGCACAGCTTGGCTCAGGAACCGCCTCAAGATTGCAAATGTCTTCCCACAATGCCCTACAAGGAGAAGACATGTAAACAAAAAAAAACTGGAAAGAATGATGAAGCTGGAGTTATTAGTTCAGGCTTAGAGTTCATAAAATGCAAACTGAAAAGAGTTTATTTCTTTCATCAAATGAAATAATCATTTTAACAATGTCTTATGACCCTGAAGAAAAAATAAAATGTCTGCATGTGTTTGTTTCGGTTCATAATAGAGGGCCAAACATTAAGTTCATGTAGAATAAGTGGATTTAGGTTCACTGGAAAACAGTTTGATGTGTGTGAAAAACAGTCTAAATTCTCTTAACATGTAATTCTTGTTTAATTTGAGCTAGCATAGATTCCTTCAAATCTGTCATGTGATAATGTGTGGCAAAGAAAATGCCACACTTTGCTGAAAGAATGATTCATACAGGTTTTCTTTAATGTGCATTGTAATTGCTTCATTTTTTTTTTTCAGAATCTGCTAACTCTGTACCAAGATAAAAGAAGCACACACTGGTGCGGCACATACTTCAAACAAACCTGATCTGTATCTACTTGAAGTGATTTTTTTTCCCAGTTGCTGATTTGCTCTAAGTAATGCAAATGAGTTCATACTTTTACCACTATTGGCCTGCTATACACATTATAATTTTGGTCACATCTTTCCCAAAACCAATAAATTGGTTGGCATAAAATTCTGTACAGACATCCATGCTGCCCTGAAGATACATCCTTCTGATTCAAACGGCAACATTGGGTGCTGAAAAATGAAGCCAGTACAGAAGTGCTGTTCCTCGAGTGTCCACTTGAGGCTATCAGGACCAGTAATTGTATCTGGCTCCTTTCTCAAGGCAAACCCACCCATCATTTCTCTATGAATACTAACGGCTCTATGGTCATTAGCTTTGAGTATCTAGTCTTTGATTTATGTTTATTTTCCCTGCTTGCTGTGATACACTAAAAGTGTATGAGAAAAAGAAGTGAATAGTTAAAGACAGGAAAACAAAAGGTGATGATGATATGTGGCTGCACGATGATTAAACCACCACTTGAAGTTGACAATTATTGAGCTTCAAAAATATGTGAAGTGGCTCACACATACTGCAGGAATTCAAATGGCTCAACATTTCCTATATGATGATGTTGTACTCAAATGACCAACTCTATAGTCAAACAACCATCTTCTGTAGCACAGGGGTAGAGTCTGTCGTCTCTCTCAACCAGAAAGAGTGTTATTATAAGTAAGCGGACCGGAAAAGTGCTATGCCCGTCCAAGTCCATTTACCATTTTACACCTACCTCTACCATCCTTTTCATATGATAAGCATGAATGTCGGTAATGTTCAACATGCTCACTATCTTAGTATTTGAAGTGTGGAATCGTACAAAATGAATTTACTTTAGTCATTTATTATTTCCTCTGTCTTCTTGCTCCTTGTCTTAGTATGCATGAGTGTGAATGAGACTCCTGGGTAGGCTACGATGGAAAGAGGCTACCTCCAGATTGGGAATAGGATTCCTGACTCGATGGGTGGGTATGGGGTTAACTGGGTTGGGGCGAGAGAAGGCAGGAATGGGGTTTATAAAAGATGACCACAGTACAATGTCAACTCTTATGCCAACTGTATGTTTTCTTATCATCTGTGCAAACTAATAAAAAGATTTTGAAAAAAAATAAATGTAGGGGATTAGTTTAGTCATTGTTTTTTATCCTCTTTGAACCATGAAAGAGCAGCTTGTAAGGATATTTCAGTCAAGAACAAATGTTTGACCGACCATCATAACCATCCCTAGAGGATGTCGGCTTCAGATCCCAACTTTGTGTAGTGAGTTTCTTCAGTTTATTCTGAGACAGGAGTACTTTAAACTGTCGCTGATAGGCTCACCTCTCTCAGTATTGGGCACTCCAAGGTTGATTGTGGGTATGGATGCATCAGTGACATCGCTGTAATATTCTAAAAATGCAGCGTCTTTCTCCCAGGTTGCTTTCACCACCGGGACTGTGAGAAGAAAAAGGGGTCGAAAAAACTAAAGATTTTCACACACTATTCTTTCTGCTTGTGTACTTTGGTTAATAGCTTTGAAACAGTCATTTACTTCTAGATCATTTTGACCCTAAAAAAAATAAAAAAAAACATCCATGTTTTGGATAATTACACAAACCAGATGAGCTTGTGAATTTATAAGCAGGTAGTTTTTCGCCACGCGGATTAACTTGGGCTGAATGACCTGCTGACTATTTAGCAAGAAAGTGCAGTCAAATAAAATGGAGTGGCAAGCGTGATAACTGCAGTCAAACTTTTGCATCTAAATGTTCTGTAATTTACATTTCATTTGAATTTTCAAACTGAAATTCATGAACTGAAAGAGACTTTTACACCGAAAATGACTTCACATCTGCAGTCAGATTGCAAATATTTGTGTGTTCAGTGTGTAACTCAATACTTTGCACTTTCGCTGCATATTTAAATCCAGCAGGTCAACTCACATGACACCCATCTTATTTTCTCTTCCTTGGCCTCCCATGATATCCAGGATTCTTTTTAAGATCCTAGTTTTTTTTTTGTTAATGAAGCCCTGCAAGATCAGGCATCTGTTTATATATCTGACCTACTCCATCTTTACATCACCAGTACATCCCTTTAGGTCAGTCTACTTGATCCATCATGTTCGATCGAAAACCAAAAGTGAACTTGTGTTTGAATTTGTGGCTCGAACCCTGTGGAACTCCTTTCCTATGCACATGCACTCTGCACTTTCTACTGATGCTTTTAAAAGCAGCTTAAGGCAAACCTTTCCAAATTGCTTTTTGACCACTTGTAATTGGATGTTATTTTGTGAGGTCATTTTGTACATTTGTAGTTTTTATCTGTTTTTTCTTCATCTTTTATGATTTTAACTGTTTTAATTACTAATATGGTAAAAAAAAACAAAAACAAAAAACAGCATGTCAAAATAAGACATATTAGTTTGGTGTCCCTTTTCAATCATTAAAAAACATCATTAAAAAAAACATTGCAGGCCCTCAATTTTCTTTTGATCTGAGACTGAGATTCCTATTTAATTTTTTTATTTACTGGTGTGAAAAGTGTTCTTCTGTTCATTTTCTAATGAAGTCATTACAGCCTGCATCTATTGTTTGACGGATACAATTTGCATTCACTCTTTTAAAAAACGTGTCCCACCACAGCAGGATAAAACTTGTTATTCATTTTTCTATTTAACATCTTTGGTCCATCAAAAAGTGAGCATAAATACCAAACACACCTCTCTCTGAGTGGAACTTTGCGCACGTTTTCACAGCAACAAAAACGTCTTTCTCTGAAACTGGATCTCCCTGAAAAAGAGAGGAAGACAAAAACAATATCTCTTTTTACACCTAAAACATGCATTGTAATTATTCAACGTTAGTGAGTTCACAGGTGAACACCAACATTGTGTGAGGTGCAACATGTACAGAATATAACCCGCCTAAAACTGAATCAGTGGAGGAAAATAAGGGAACATGAGGTCCTAGCAGTGTATCATGTGTTGGTGTCTGATATGAACACTTTCATCTCTTTAGGGCTGAAATCCCATTTCACGTTTGACCTCTTATTCCATGACATTACCAACAGTAATCTTGATGTTATGACTTATTGGCAGGTGTAAATTGATCTGCTAGCCTTGCAGAATACAAAATAGACCATAACACACACCAGGAACTTTCTCATGATGGATAGTAATCCTGTATGACAAGTGCTAAATGTATTATGTAAGCTTTGTCTTCAAATCACATCTACTTAGTAGGAGTCATGTGTAGAGGATGGTGTGCATTTACATTTTTGTCCATATTTATACACTGTCATTTTTTTTAATCTACAACCCATGGCAACATGACTCGGCATAAATAGAGCTTCCCAGAGGGGCAGAGTCTCTCGCAGTAAAAATGACTTCAACAGCCTTTAAAAGATAGTGCTGGCAAGTAATGCAACTCTTTGAGAATAAGGTTTTTTAACATAAAATTGCAAAGAAAATTACTGCTGCCTCCTCTGGGTCCAGGCTTATTTAAGATGGACAGAGGCAGAAACATCTGACTAAGAGTTTACCCTCAATATCCTCTTAATTACCGCTTATTAATACTAGGGAAGTTGTTGTACATTCATTATCATCTTAATATGCTTTGCTCAGCATGGCCCTTTATAAGGTAGAAGTAAGCAAAAGTATATTAAGATCAAAATGCATGTTCAACAACTTTCTAACTTACTATCAATAAGCAGTAGTTAGGATGGTATTGAGGGCAAAGTAGAATAAGGTACTAATAAACCCTTAATAATGACTAATGATCACCCTTATGCTACTAATTAGCATGCTAATAAGCAGCTGGTTAATGATGAATATTGAGACCTTAACTTAAAAGTGCTACCAAATAAGCAGATGTTTATTGATTTAAGCATGCATATATATATAAATAAATCTAAACTAGATGAACATATTTATTTACTGAGATCTACTTACATCTTTTTTTAATCACTGTCACACAAAAACAGACTCTTCATTGTTCATTAGTTTTTGTACTGGTTTCTTTACTTTTAGTTTTAATGAGGAAAAAAAAGCCTCCTTCACGAGGAGACATCATCCTCCTATGTAAGCTTCCTTACTCTCAGCTTCTAATACTAATCAAGTCTAAAATGAGGCAATAGTTTATAGCTTGTCCCCCTTAGGGTGCACATCAGGATGTTTTTTTTCTACAGCAAATGTCATGGTTGATACCTGCTGTGGATCTCAAGGATGAAGGCTGTTTTTGGTGTTTGCTTTCCTCGGAGGGAATTCATTGTTGGGTAGACATATTGTTCTTCGATGGCAGCACAGCACATGAGACATGTGAGACATTTCTGCTTTATTTACCTTGTAGTTAAGTAATGAGCCTTGGTTTTCGAGTATTTCACTACATCAAAAAAGTATCACACATCTACAAACAACCACCATTTGGTGCATGTCATCTCCCCACTACATTTCCTGTCTATCTTCATTCGTCCTGTCCTGACTCAGCCCACTCATCGCTGCATTTGTATTGCAGCACAATAGGTCGACTCTTGGCAACGGAAACATGTGTAAAGTGCTCACATTTAGCTGGACTCAGTTATAAATACAACTTATAATACGACGGCTGGATGTTTTTCCTCCTTTTTGGTGATTATCCGTACAGAAACCTAAACTATGTCTACAGTACATCAGTTTAATATTCTGTAACACCTGTCTCCCCACTACATTTCCTGTCTATCTTCATTCGTCCTGTCAAAAATAGAAGCAAATGTTCCAAAAAAAAAAAATCTTCAAAAGATTATCTTGGTGGTTGCAATGGTTGCAGTAATTCAGGACTCTGCTGCATGATGTCATTTGTTTGAGGTTTTAAAGAAATGTGTGACAAGCAAACTCTCTTCACACCATTGCTAAAAAGAAAGTACATGAATAAATGATGTGCAGTTGAATATTCTACAAAGGAACTTAAGGAGAATAAAGAGTATAAATATCTTGAATGCTGATAATGATCTTTGTTTCTGTATATTGCTTTTTTCAGAGTGTGGGCCTAAATGATAATTCAACACTGTAATAAAAAGCATTTTCCTTGAAAATGGAGGGATACTGAGAAGGACAGGATTTAAAGAAGTGCTGTTAATTTGCTGCAGACACTTAATGCTCTCTGACTGCACTGCTATTCCTTTATATCTAATAAAATGTCCTCAGCTATCCTCTTAATAAAGGTGGAAAAGAAAACAGAGACCTCCGACAAATAGTTCTCCTTTTCTTCAACCCCGATTTTTGAAGTTAAACATTTTGACAACATAAGAAGTGTGAAACCCTTGAAAAATCAACGTTATCCCTCCAACAAAATGTGGTTTAATATGGAGGGTCCACCATGTGCAAAGCAAATCACGTCTGTCTATCTCAGATAGTACTCTAAATAAAGATTTTGAGAGAACTACTGTAGTCCTGCCTCTCTGACATACGCAGTCCTTCCTTTCTTCTTCAGTCTTGTTTATTCCAAAATGTGCTTTAATGCTTTTTTTGTGTTTGATTTGTTCCAACTCAACAGACAACTGTTGCAGTGATCCTTCATCCCACTCAGCCTTGTCAGGTGTCTGCTTGATTTCCCTTTAGCCTTCAGACTGACTCAGCCCTCTCATCGCTGCATTTGTATTGCAGCACAATAGGTCGACTCTTGGCAACGGAAACATGTGTAAAGTGCTCACATTTAGCTGGACTCAGTTACAAATACGACGGCTTATTTCTCATGTTTTTCCTCCTTTTTGGTGATTATCCGTACAGAAACCTAAACTATGTCTACAGTACATCAGTTTAATATTCTGTAACACCTGTCACCACAAATTGTATCACCTGCTATATAACTAATGTTTCTTTCGGCTAGAAAGAGTCCATATTTTCTCTTCTAAATTAATTGTAATGATTCTGATTTATCAAAAGTTTCCAAGTGGCGACGCAAACACATGCATAGGAAAAGAGACACTGTCATTACCACCCATAACCATATCCACAAAACATGTGTAGCTTCCAATGATAGCCTCTTAAATGTCAATAAATAAAGGTTTGTACATACACAGTTGGGCAGGTAGGTCGTAAATGTGGAGGCACAGTCGTCGTCTCTTGCCTCTGTGCAAAACTCTGGAACTGCTGTCAGCTTCGGACCGTTTCCTTCCTCCCAAATAAACAACGCGATCTAGAACAACAGAGGCACACATGCAGATTTATGAAGCTCTTGAGGGGAAACAGCTTAAAAGTGATTTGTGGCCTATACATTTCCAGTAATGTACCACAGCGGCCGAGGGGTCTAAAAGAAGTAAATATCTCTAACTTCATGACATGCTCTGGACATGTTGATAACTCTCACACAAACACACGCACACAAAGTTGAAGTCATTGGGCGCCGGTGGCCGAGTGGTTAGTTGAGCATTACAGATGTATCAAGTGTCACATGCTTAATCAATATCTCGAGCCACCATCATTACTTTGCATTTTGAGGAGGACAGGAGGATTAACATCACATTATAATGTCTGCTCTAAATCTGGAGATCAGAAATAAATTGAAACATAACTTTGTCTTAATCTTGAATTCAATCTAACACAAGAAGTACAATTTTTAAGCTCCTGTGAGAAGATTAAGCTGGTTACAAAACAGACTGAAAGTTATACAGATGCCTCTATATGACCCACAAAAGCAATCAGGAACACCAGCGAGAAGACCGACTCTGTTTTTTTTTCAACACAGCGTTGGTTGGTTATTTACAGCACGCTGCAGAAACAGCCTTTTGTCTGCATCTGACATTTAAAATAAATATGGATTCTTTTTGCTTCGTTCTGTTCTGCTTTGTAAACATGGTTGATTAACATCGACACAAAATCAAAGTTCCTCACAGTAGCAATTTCAACCCAATTTTAAACTTTTAAACAGAAAAATAAAGGTTTCCCAAGACCATCTCTTCTGCTTCTGCAGTATTCATGTCATGAGCTGTATTGTGCGCATTTACCCAAAACCAGGAAACGTACAAATACACATAATAAGCTTGAGGTATAGAAAGCTGCAGGGGCCTTTTCAACAAAAGGAGCCTCAGTGCCCGAGGAAAAAAACGTTTTCACTTTTCACAGTGTTAAAAGTAGAATAGAACCAGAGAGCAGTAATAGTAAGTAATAAGTAATCACAGTGAAAAGGCCAGAAACTAGACGCAGGTTTTACAAATTGTCCTGGAAACTGTCTCGTGTACCTCATGTTTCAAATCGATGGAGAAATCCGACTTCAGGGGTTCGTATTGGACCTTGCAGCAAGTCTGAAACACAAGAAAGTGAAAGGTATTGACAAAAGAGAGAATAACTCTCCGTTTTGTTAGAGAATGTACTAGTCATGGCGGTCCTGAATGATTGGTTACCTCTGAGTCCTCCTTTGTGTTAATTCAAAACACTGTACTGAAAGGGATTTTTCTTTCACTATGGGTAATGGGTTTGATGTCAGCATCCTGAATAACTACACCTCAACAAAAGCACATTTTTATTCCATTTATTCTTTTAAACGGCTAATTAAGTGATTGTATCGTGTTGTTAGCTGTGTTCTTTTCCTCCTGACCTCTTAATTTATTGTTTGACATACAATTACAATAAAGGCTTCTATTGTTTTTCTAATTCTATTCTTTTCTACTATTGGGTAAAAACAATTTGAATTATTCACTCTATTAGTGCCAGATAGATTCATGCAGAATAGATCATAAGGTCTTTCTGCAGATAGGACTTCCTTGTGTGACCGTGTTTTAAAAAAATGTCAAAAATATAATTGACGTCTGAATAAAAGGAGTCCTTTTTATTCTAACCATAGACTGTATATAACAAACATCTCGTCACACACCTGTGGAGCAGCGGCGTGCTGAGAGCCCAGCCTGCTGCGGGGTCGGGGTAACCGAAGGAGCAGGGGTCTTCAGAGAAGGCATAGTGGTGAATGATTGAAGCCTCCTTGTCATGAAGACGCTTTCCCAAAAACCATTTCTGTGAGTTTTTGAAAAGGGAAATGGGGAAGATTGATGTGAAATGAACATCTTTTTTTGTAATTCTCTTCACAAAGCTTGTTTAATATGTGCAACACAACAGCCAACTCAGTCACCATCAAGGATTTCTTAAGGTTTAATATTTGTATCTCACGTATTGTACTGGATATCTGTTGAGGACGTGCAGCAGAGCAGACAGCGTGACTCTGGTCTCCTCCTCAATGAAGAAAAACCAGGATGCTGATTGACCATACGTGGCAGAGAGACTGGAAAGATCCATAAGAAGACATTAACTGTATGCCTTTATTTCCAACCCCCATAGGAAGATTTAAAGCTTTATTCAAAGAAAACGTTATTTAACCTCATTTAATTCATTCGTTTATCATCCTCATATTTTTGGTTTAACACTCACTGAGGAAGTGCCGGGAGGATGCTCCAGTCCCCGTCAAACTCTGAAAGCTCATGGAGGAGAAGAACAACTGGAGCGCCCTATGTGGAACAAATGAGTACAAACACTTCATGTACACTAATACAGTACATTTGCCAAGTAAACAGATATATTCCCACAACATGTTTAAGGTGATTTTATGTGGAGTTTTGGTTAAATTATTATGACCAAAAACTTAAATAACAATGATTTAAGAGAGAAAAAAAAAACACTTTTGAAAAATCCCACAAACATAAAAAAAAACACTTGAAGAACTGTGAGAGTTGAAGAACAAAATACTCTAATGACAATCAAAAACAAATATGGTTCAGTTTAATAATGGTTCTAATTTTTCACCTCCAGAGGGCACTGTGAGGGTGAGTGTCCCTTCCCACTCTAATGTGACTGTACAAAAAGCTCCACACAAAAGGTCATTTATCACGAGACATATGCTGAAAATGTGTGCAATATAAGTTGTATATATTGGTCTCAACTGTCTTTCAAGAAACAAATGTTTCCCGGTAAGGTTTGACATTGGAAGAGAAACCTTGGCGCTGACAAAAGTACTGTGTGTCCTTCATCAGCAAAATGTTGAGTAACAACATCTGCACACCATCCTGCTGTGTGATGCGGTTCTACGCCTCCCTTCCCATTAAATGACTCATGCATATGAACTCCAAAATGTCTTCAGTGCAGCCACAAATAGCACAGGCTTAGACACGGTGCTAACGATTAATGTAAGCGTCCAAAAATAGGTATAAATGACAGTCAGTGTCTTCCGGCGTTTTTTTTTTCTTTGCTGTGTAGGCTGAGATCAAGTCTCTCTCTGAGTCACATCTTTGTTTAACTCGAGTACTAGAGAGTGACCAAGAGAAAACGTAAAATTCCAGGCACAGCTAAAGAAATGCTAAAATCATCCTCACAGTGATGATGGTAACAAGCTAATTATTATCTGATAAAGTGTTGCTATGTTCACAAACTTAGCATGTTCGTTTTTCATCTTATTAGTGCAAAGCATGAACTCAATGACACAAACAGTCATCAAGTTTACTTGGCTAAAGACTGACACATTCTAGCCGATCACTACGGTTCAAAATACAAGTGTCCCAAAAACTATTATAATCCAGCATCAAAAAAAAATGTGTGTCCCAAATGCCAGCTCATGAGTTGTTGAGACATATCACTTAAATAAACATCAGAGTCATGATGGAGAGAGTGAGATAATGAAAAGGGGATTCTAAAAGTCATAGTGATTTATCCTCTGAGGCCATATAAATGTCCGGACAAAATTTCCACGCGATCCAAAACCCATTATTTGTTGGCTTTAAAGTCTTCCAGGAGATTAAGTAGCCTTGGCAACAAAAATAATATGTGAGGTCATGATTTATTTGCTCTTGCAGATGCGTCCGGACCCCATCATATTCAGACACACTTTCACCTGAACTGATTCAGGCTATGCCAATCTTAAGCAGCAGTTTACCTCATATGAGGGATGTTTGAAACAATGCCTGTCATTCTGAAGTTTCATCACAATCAACAAATAAATAGTTCCCTTTAAGAATAAAATGTTTTTTGCTACTAAATCATGCCTTGCCAAATCTCTATGTACAGCACTGAATTACAAGCCATAGTAAATGGAACTAGCTACCTAGCCTAGCAGCCTCCTACGACCTCACATGTTGTGTTGATCTGATCTTTTGTAGACAGAGAGATTCTGTTTGTACCTGTAGATTAAGCCCCTTGGACAGAGGGTACAAAAGGCTGATTGTGCCCTCATTTTAAATGTATGCACTCTCATTTGAGTCAACACGATTGTAAAAAAAAAAAAAAAAAAAAAAAGAAAGATCATTGGCTTTTAAATGACAACAGTGACTAAGATCGTGTTTATTACATTCATGATCTGATGGTAATGACAGGTGCACGTGACCTGTACATTCACCGGGGACCAAATGCAGGACCCGTAACACCTAGGCTATTTTTTTTTATCGCTTTTGACGGTCACTATAGCTGCACCCACTTTAATCTCAGATGCACCCGAAGTCATTTTGTCCTAGAACCTGGCCGGGCCTTGGAAATTCTAAATCAACTAATAGCTTAATTATACTTTTTGTTTATTCAAACCAAACCAACAGCTGAGACAAAATCACATGAGAATACTTAGTAACATCATGTGTCTAATAAAAGAAAGTCTTTTTTTTTTCTGTATAAATTCATCAAAAGTTTTATGAGTATTACATCATTTCCCCTGAGACAACCACCATCGAAAATGTAATATCCTAACACACCTCTGCCCATGTTCACATCCAATTCAGAGGGTGTGGGGGGGTGTGTACTACAATCTGCTGAATGTGTGGGTGAAAAAGAGAAGAGAGCACAGCCAAATGTGACAGCTGTGAATGGAGGCTGAATGATGAGGCTGCATTGGCAGTGACATCTTGGATTGAAGGCTTTCACTTACACCCAACAACAAAGAACCATGTGACACTGCCATAACCAAAGGTTTATTCATATAAATATTGATGTAGACAGGAAGCTGGGTTAAAATAAACACTGAGAATATAATGAAGTATTTCTGCTTAGAACTTCAGGTGTAGCTACAATTTACTCTAAGGTAAATCCTTAAGATGGCAACATAGACTGTAAAAAAAAAAAAAAAAAAATAAAAAAAGGAGAAGGATAACATGTCAGCTCCCAAAAAGTGAAGCAAAAACATATGCCCCTGATGAGCTGCAGTGCAGGTCACACTGTCTGCTCTTTTTGGTTTGCAGAAAGGCTGAGACATCAGTGCTGTTCAGACTCTGGCACCAAAATGAGGTCACCAGCGCAAAACATCAATAAGGAAACATGTTTTTTGATTGTAAACTATCATCATGCCAGATTTTATAACCACCTTTGACTCTTGTCTTCAGTCAGAGCACACCGTCGAATACACGTGAGTTACAAATCGCGTGACGCACAACAAGAAACTATGTATGAAGAAACTTGATCAAAGCCACTTCATGATACAGTGTCTCCATATGGTTTTCAGTTTTCTCTACATATGTTGTGTCTGTCCCTATCAAATAAACCATCATAGGCTCCTACACGGGTACACCTTTATATATATGGCAATTCTTGTTCTATTCCCACACTATGTATGTGTTCTGATCATGCAGAAAAGTACCAGACAGTAATCTTTGTGTTCTCAGGACCTCTTTATGCTCTCTGTACCAAATGCTCGGACAGAAATTGGGAAAAGGGCTTTTGGGTATTCTGCACCCTCAGCCTGGAATTTGATGCAGAATGACTTCAAACTCAAGGAGCATGGTGTCCTTAAATGTTTTTAAATCTAAAATGACAGACTTGGAAGCAGATTGCTTTTAGCTTGACTGCTTGAACTACTGACCCCCAGTTGTGACTCATAGATGGTTCTCTTTCAATGTAAAATTTTGTGTTTTTAAATTGTACTTTGTCTCCCTTTATGTCTTTGTCTGTAACTTTGTGTTTTTTATGCTGCCTGTCTTGATCAGGTCTCCCTTGGAAAAGAGGTTCTTAATCTCAATGGGACCAACCTGGTTAAATAAAGGTAAAATAAAATTAAAAAAAACATGTTGACAAGAGTAAGACTACCCATCATTCACTGAGTATCCAAGACAATACAAGACAATGTTTTTTTATCAATACAATACTGTATGCAAATAGGAGAAAAATCTATAGATCTTTTTATGATCACTAAATCATGTTTCCCAAAAGTTTTATTTTCAAAGCAGGAAACACAAAAGTTGTGCCATTGCTTAATATCTATATTATTCAGCTGTTATTTTCTTAACAGTGAATTTCAGACTCACCAGAAGACATGCAACATGTATTTGTGTTTTAGTTTTCTTCTGTTCTGTTAAACTGACAACAACACAAACTGTTGATTGTATTATTACTCTTCACAACTGTGACGCACTAACAGTCATTTAACAAGCTATGAATGATAAGATGTTGTTTATTTAAAGGGAGGCTCACTCATATTGAGTCATGTTTCATACCATCTGGGTTTCTCTTCTACTCAATTCTTTTTCTGTCTGTCAGCGTGAAATTGGTGCGTAAACACCTCAAACCAAAAACCACCACCTCCTGGTGTCAGATCAGAACAGTCATAGGCGTGTCAAATCCGATCACTGTCGCTGGTAAATCGTCCTCTGATGTGTGTACAACACAGACTCAGAGAGAGGGGGAGGGACAAATGGAAAAAAACAATTAAAAGAATGTATCGATCCATCAGCAAACAATATTATTATAAATGTCATTGAGATCATTGAAACAACCACATCATTTCTGCCTTTCACAAAGCCAAAAAAACAAACAAATCTTATCTGAAACCGTTTCAATAGTCGGGGAAATAAAGATTTCATGACACTTTTTATTTTTCACATGTTGTAAAATCTTCCGTTGGAGCCCCTGCTGACTGCCTTCTGTCATTTCTCCTATCAGGGATTGTTTTCTGGATTATAAATGAGGCTGGAGCAAGAATCAAAGACCAAATGATTCTTCCTTTCTTTTCACAGTACACATTCCCATCAAAGGAATATCAACAATTCTGTGTCTCTCGGGCTGTCATGTCCATATGGCCGTCGATTCATTTCTCTGAGGTCTACAGATATTTCCTTTTCACAGCCACTCTGCAGGGTCTCGTTTGGTTCAGTAGTAGGGGAGCTCTGTGGAGAGGAGGACACCTACCGGTGCCTGTAAAATACCACAGCAACGATTAAATGAACACTAAGATTGCTACATTTTGATTCTCGGTAGAGTGTCCTGACCTGAGTCCTGTTTTTTTCAAAGAAAAAGAAGATTTGACAAACCTTATCCAGTTCCAGTAAAATTGTAATCCAGCCTGAGTCCAGCCGTCTGATTGGATGTCGATAATCCTGACATTTTGGATCAAAGTTCTGATTATCATACTCAAAAGTTTGAGTTTTATAACCAGATAAAAAATCTGATTTCCAAATCCCTTTTTTTTTTTTCTCTTTTCAACAACCCTATTTCAGCACTTGACACAATTGAAACCTTTAATCCGGTCAGGTTACTTTGGAATACATGAGCCCAGGTGTAAATACAACCAAGACGCATTGACGACCCTTCGATCAGAATACTCAGAGCACATTGAGAAGCGACCGGGGGTGCATCTGACCACAGTATTTTAGCAGCGTGTAGTGAAGATTTCTCACATCATTCTGAGCATATAAGAATGTATTTTAGAAATTAGAGCTGGTTATGCATGAACAAAAGTGTCCTGTATTGATTCCTTGAAGGACAGTGAATGACTATATTAAGGGGTGAGGGAGAACAACAGGACAGCACTAGACACTGCAGGAGATGTGACTCATGACCTGTTCATCATAGTTTAGAATACTGCAGCACACAGAGACTTAATGAGCTCCAGTCTGCAGTGAAGTTCTCAAACTTTACTGATTAACCACCAAACTTTGACAGAAAATTAGGCTTTATGCTCAAAAAAAAAGTTTTATACCACATCTCTCCAAAAGCTTAGTCTTTTATTATTACCCTCTGTCTCTCTCTCTCTCTCTCTCTCTCTCTGTCTCTCTCTCTCTCTCTCTCTCTCTCTCTCTTAAATGACAAAATGTTCGACTAAGACCAAGATCTAAACTGATTATGTTATCCTACTGAGTACAACAGCACTGATCAGTAAGCCTTCTACTTCCTGCCAAATGTTACCTGTCCCAGTTTAGCTGCCTGCTGCAGAATCTCCACCTTCCTCTGACCAGCTCGACGGGCGTGGTAGGAGTTCCTCTGACTCTGAATCACCAAGACAACCTCCCCCAACCCTGCCAAAAAAAAAGAATATATATATATATATAGGCAAAGCGAACCTGAACCCTTCCACCCAGAAAACTTTACTTTATGATGACAATGTGCAGCTATACACAAATGTACTCACATGACAGAAATGTTTTTTCTTATTAATGATGTAACATGTGATATTAAAATGTATACTGCCTAAACATGTGAAATCAATAAAAAATTATCTAAAAAATAATATATATATATGTATATATATATGTATATAGGCAAAGCAGAAACGCAAATAACAATTGGAAAAATTTGGGAAATATGCTTCTTTTTTTCCTTGCTGGGAAAAGTTCAAGTTTCACCACTGTCTCTGCACTCGGTCATGAAATATCCCCACACAAGCCAATTTCAACTAAATGCTTTTTACACATATGTTCTTGTATGTATATCACAAAACATAAAACAGTTATTTCAGGTGAGCCACCTATGGACAAAGCCAGGTTAGCTGTTTCCAGTCTTTTTGCTACGCTAAGCTAACTGGCTGCTGGGTGTAGCTTAATATTATAGTGTTTACTGCTTCAATCTTTCACAAATATTCTTACGAAAAAAGCAACAAGCCTATATCCCCAAATTACAAACTATTCGGATCACTTTTTGTCCTGCTCCCCCAGATTTATTTATTGAAACAAAAACTCTCAAAGGTTTTGGTGGAGGCTTTCATTTGCACCTTACATGTGTGCACTAATGGCATTTCAGACGAGATTTACAAAGTGCCATCTGCTGTTTTGGTCCCTCACTCACCAACAGAGCTGTGTGTGGTATGCTCTCGGCGCTCTGCTGCCTGTGAGGAGTCAGAAAGAGACTTGTTAAGTCTGATGCACGCTGCTTCATGATGAAGAATAATCACAGTGAGAATCTTTTGGGGGCGGCACTTACATTCGCACCACCTGTGTGTTTGACTCCAGCACAGGGACCTGGAGGGGGCGAGAGAAAAGGCGACAGTGCTATCATGTCATCATCAAAAATAAATAATTAGTTGTACTGACATGAGCAGCAAGCGTATAGTTTGTAATGTTTCAGTCAGGCTGATGATCAGTCGATAAATGAAAATGACAGAAGAGGATCATTTTAGATTCTACATCAAGCAAGAAGGCCTTTTTATTTTAACTCTTTCAGACAAATCAAGCTAACTGAATATATATACTTACTGAATATACTGAACTTCACTGAGGCTGTTGAAGCCCATTCATATAAAAATACTTCTTATTAACATTATTGTTACTTTAAAAATTAGAGCAGCAAATAAAACAGGCGTCTAACATCTTGACATATCTGTTACAGTGCGGTATGTTAACATGCTGCAAGTACAGTCTGAACCGAAGTAGACTCATTAGCAGTAGACATTTCTGCACAAACAAGACCTCTATCTTCGTCTTAACAAGATAAAATCCTGTGAACCTAGAAGAACTCCCAATAAACTTTGAAACCAGGACACGTTTAACATGTCCTACTTATGAGTACAATGTTGTATATCAATATCAACATGTCAATATATTACTGAGATATGAAAACACATCCTGTAAATCCTGTGTGTGTGTGTGTGTGTGTTCACCTGGAGCTGGGTGCCACCATTAAAGTCTGCAAACCTGCTGTTCACCTGAAATCAGGCTACCTACACACATAGTATAAAAGACGGCTCAGTCTTCCACTTGACGCCAGATTGTCCGTTTACCCACCGAGGTATTTCTCAGTCAGGCTTGTTTATAATCTTTTTTTTTTTTTTTTTTAAATGATAAGATTTGCTTTGTTAAAATTGTCTTCTCCTGTGTCCAGATTTCCATAGCTCAATCTTCAGCATTCAACGGCCAGCTCGATGACCTCACCTCTGCTTCAACACTGACCCTGAGACCAGATATATTGAACAGCAAGACACCAGAGAGAAGCTCCCATACCCCCGGACCTCCTGCCAGTATCCAAAAGACGTACAATAATCACTTTTTTTTACTTCCAATCCAACTGTTTTGTGTCTGTATTGTGGGTCTGTCTGCGTTGCTGCAGTGAATCATTCTTTAAATGGACTATCATCCTTCTCACTCAGACATCAACACAATATGTCTTAGAAGTCATTTGGAAAGGGTTTTTACTCACAGTAAAAACAAATAGGCTGATTTGAGGATTAACATTTTCTCCAATTTTTAACCAAAAGAAATGCATCTAAATATAAAGTCAAGGCGAGACATAGAGCACCCCTGAGAGGAGGTTGTGCACCTACTGAGGGCTCGTGACTTAATATCTTGCTGCTAAATGAATTGTACGCAACATGAAGTCAAAATGTTCCAACGACAATAATGTGAAAGAATTACCGCCAAAGACAACAATAACTGTCTTAGGTATGTCATGTGATTTCTGGAATTTTTTTTTATCTCATTTTATGAATCCAAAAGTTGGATTAACACTTATCATTTCCTGTATCTAACTGAAAGGCTCTGCCAACCCGTGCCACTCTGCCACACAGGGGAGATGTGTTTGATGAGACCTTGAGATTGCGTTTACAATCCATCTTTGCCAGAAGTACCAGGACCTTTTAATCATTCACTGATATTCTCTTCGTAGTTTAATGACCTCGTATGTGTAATAGGTGTAATTGCCCCGACTTAAATGGTGTGGAGGACTTCCATCTTGTTGATGATTGATGATTATTCACGTGTGCAACAATACATTTAAGAAATAACGAGGGCTCGTTTCAATGCCACAAAAAAAAAAATTACTTGGCTATTGCAATTTAGCCAGCAGTTTTTTGTTTAAAAAGTGTCATTCTATTTGCAAAGACTTCTTCAGCAGGACACATTTGATTTATATTTGATAGCCTATTTAATGTGAAGATCTTCACATTAAGTAGGCTATCAAATATATACACTCGGTCTTTTGTTTACAAACGGGATCACTTGGAGGGGATGGGCAACTTCGGTCACAGCAAGGGCCACATTCATTTAATTCTCACTGCCAGAGGGCCACATTGTAGGATACAAAACCGATTACAGTCGATTATGTCTCAAATTTAACTTAACATATACCAGTGATCAATTATTATTATTATGGACATATTTCTGGTTTTTCATGATTTCATGGCTGATTTTGTCATGTTTTTCTTCATGTTTCCAATTAACTGATTTGTAAAAATTAACCTGAGGGCCACGTTGAGAGTTGACCGGGGGGCCGCATGTGGCCCCCGGGCCGCCAGTTGCCCACCCCTGCTCTACGTGGTAGTTGGGTCTATTTGTGACGCGTCAAGCTCCCCAGACTAAAACCGTAATTTCCTCTAATTACAACCATGTGGTAATAAATTCTACATATTTTGTAGCACAGCACGTACCATAACGACACCAAAGAATAACTCAGCTGCGTTATCTGACGTAAATACCACTCAGATGTAGCCTATTTGTTTTATTGTTAACTTGAATGCATAACTTTATTTTGAAGGCCAAATTGAAGCGGCTGTCGTTACGTTTAGCCTTAGCAACGGTGGCTAACACGGTAGCTGTCTCCGTCGTGAATGAACCCACTTACCAAGCCAAAGTGTGAGAACGGCAACCAGTTTACATCCGTCAACTATGTTGTGAGGTGACATGGCTCCCGTAACCTCTGTCTGGCTTTTGGGATTACCGTCTTTTCATGGCGAAGCCGAGAAAGAGGTCAGCTACATTCTCGTTCTGGCAGAACTCTACATTTTACTGTAGTGGCTGTTCGTGCGAAGCTTTACTGACCTCTAGTGGAGACACTGCTGCTATGACAGACGAAAGTTTATTGTTTCTTATTTATTCTTCTCTTAAAACGTCCCCCTTTTGGTAGGCTATATATTTTATATGTATTTTATTTGATATTATTCAGTATCTTTAGGCCAACTTCCAATGCACACACACAACTGGACAATTCGCTCTGACTCTGTGCAATAATAATGTTATATTAATGTTATATTATGTTTACCAATCCACTTGGTGCAATAACATGTTACACTTTATGCGCACTGTGTGCATGTCTGTGTTACACTGAATATTACAGACTACACTTTTGTCAAATAGCTGATCTATTTTTTATTTTTTAAATGTATTTTTTAGCATCTATTTTTTTGTACGTTCTTAATTTTTCTTTTTTTCTTTAAATTATACTGTGTTCACTGTTTGTCTGTAACCTTTTGCTCTTTGCTGCTGTAACAATGTAAATTTCCCCATTGTGGGATAAAGGATTATCTTATTATCTTGAATCTGCCCTATCTGGTTTAATTTCCTTTTTTTTTTCTTTTTTTTTTTAAATGTGAGAATATTAAATTAAAGTCTTTACAACAAAGTTTATTTTATTTTCTGATTTAGAATAAAAAAATATATCCTACTGTGATTCTGACCAGATTATTTTTAATGTTATAAATGCAAATTATTGGCATAGGCCTATTTAATTTCCTAATTTTAGATTATTGTCTTTATAAATCGTTCGTGTTTTGTTTAAAAAAAAATAAAAAAATAGGCCTGCTGTGGAAAAAAAAACAACCTTTCTTAAGGCTCCCGTAAAGTACATTTAGTTTGTGTCTTTTTTTGTTGACGGAGGGGTGGGCTACTGTTCACAGACATATGGTCATTAGCACTGTTGTTTGGGTTGTGTCTGAACAATATTTACAGTCTATGTGTCTGACTTAAAAAAGAATAAGAAAAAAGAAAAAAGAATTCGAGTCTTGAGAGTCTCTTGACTGTCCCACCCTTAGTATGTCAAAGATTAGCCCTTAAACCAAAAGATAAGTAGTTTTTATACATTTACAAAGGCTGTGTTTGAAGGTTGTGTTGTTGATCTAGACGATGTCACGTGCTGATAAGATAATGGGTCAAATTAGGCTATTCATATTGCACATTAAAGCATAAACTGCTTTATTGGCTGGGTTTTGATGAAGAGAAAAAGATATTCAGAAAGTAGGATGAAAGTTAGTTTTTTTTTGTAGTTTGCTGCAGACTGCTGGAGTGGATACATACAAAACAAATGAGTCAACAGTTTCCAGACCACAAAGTCCAAACATGGACAGTCTGGCGACATCATTTAGATTGGCAGGCAGTGTAGCCTGACTGTTCATGTTTTTTGTGGTATTTTAGCCTAAAGTATCCACGACCGTAATGAATGTGTCACACAACTGGGTTTATTGTCACTTTGTGTGTCAAACTGTTATAATGACTAATAGGCTGCAGTAAACCTAGGTAAGTAGGCTATAGCCTAAACTATGCATTTATCTGTAAGAAAAAAGGTCTGAGCAAATATTAAAACATGTGCAAGGTGAGCAGAAGAGCCTCTGATATGGAGCACATGCAGCTCATTAATCTCTGGTGTTGTCATTCTCAGGTGACTCAGTCTCAAACCACTGTAGGTGTGGTGGTATGTTGTTTTTTTCCATCTGCAGCTTTTCCAAGCATTGGGCCAAATGCTGCCTTCATATGGCGCTTAGAAAATCGTAAAGCATAAATGGTATCTGAATTTGTTTACTCATTTCATTTTTTTGCGTTTGGCCTACGTAGTATGTGTGTCATATCAATGTTCAATAACATTATGACATTATGTGTGTAGGGAAGAGCCAGCCAGCCTTGAAAGATGTGCTGCTGTAAAATCTAAATCAGAAATATAAACTAGGCCCACTCGAATAGAAAAGCACTTCGCCTTCAAAATAAAAGCACATTCGTCCCTTGAGTAGTTGAGAAACGCTAGGAATCATTTATCTGAGACACTAACTTTCATGTTTGTATTCCATTATAAGGTTTTGCTTTTAAACAATTTCAACATCTTCCCACATTTTAAGGAGAAGACTTCGAAATGTCTTTTTCTGTCTGTTAAACATACGTGACCTATTTATTTTGACTAACTAGCCTATTTGTGTTTAATAAATTACTTCAACATTAAAGCTAGGCCTATTTAAGCCTTTATGCATGCATTACATACCTGCACAGCTCCTCCATTTCACCGTTTGTATATTTTGTGTTTTTACATTCTTAAATTCTTAAATGCTCTTTATATTTGTATCTTTAAGTTCCTGTCAGCAAGTCGGTTCAGCTGTTTTATATTGTCTTATAATTTTGTCTGAAGCCATTTGCTAATTGTTTTGCAACAAACACCAAGTGAAATTTCTTAAATGTACTTGGCTATAAAAACCGATTCTGATTCTGATATAACCTATCAATAGCTGTTAATGAACTGGTTCTTAATATTCGCAAATCCTTTATAAATTTATAAATTAAGTAGACTATTTCAAAGAAACAGCCAAGTTCTCGGGGAATTAGGTCCAATTATTGGTGTTTATATAAATATATATATATATTATATATTATATATATATATATTATATTATATTATTATATCATTATATTATATACATTATATTATATATTTATTTATATTATATTATATTATATATATTATGTATTATTATATATTATGAATATATATGATAATATTGGTGTTTATATAAATAAGTCACTATTATTTTTATTGAGTAGATTTATTTTTTTGTTGGCAAAGCAGACCGGAAGTCGTATTGTGTGGGTATCTCTAACTTGACGTGCTTGACGTTATATGAAACCGCAGACGAGCCTTGGAAAGTAAACAACAGCGGCAGTCGCAAAAGGAGTATCTACATCTAAGAGGCGCTAGACAGAAGTGTGACATTATGACGACAAACACACTTGTCCCCAGCAGGACGACTGTGACAGAGGTTGAAGAGTTCCTGAAAAAACCTCCAGCCGGTTTCTCCGTAGAGGCTCTGGGCTCTGGTGGTTTCCGAGTTCACAGCGATCCGCAGGAGAGCATGGTGCTCATCGATGACTTCGACTCCTGCAGAGGGAAAATAGTTTTCCAGCAGTCGCTGGGAAGGTGAGGGAAAAACGTTGACTGCATGGGATGGGGCACTTTAGTTTGCAATGATTTCGCGCTTCTTCTTGATTTTTTTTTAAAAGTCCCATTAAATGATGTTTTTGTTCTTTATGTAACAGGAAAGTTAAAATGCAGAATCTATGGCAGTACACCAGCATGAGAAAGAGTCTACTGTCTAAGAGGATCTATCTGCTCGTGTCAGCCTACGAGGAAAACTCATCAGAGACCAACAAAAAGCCAAAAAATGAAGCCAGAAGTAATTCAAAAGTTCTGTTATTTTACCATTAGACCCCAGCATTACTTACACACACTCGATTCAAAACACATTGATTGTAATTGCATATAAAAGCTATGAAAAATCGGAGAAAATGTTGTATTTGGACCCAGTTTGTTCTAAGTAGGTCATTCTTTCTAAGTGTCACAAAGTGTGACTCATTTTGGCTTCCAAACTAATTTGCCATGGGTGGAGCACAGGATTTTTAATGTCGGCACATGTTTTTCTGCACTCTCTCTCCTTTCCTGTTTTCCTCATGAGTTATCTTTCTCCCTGTATCAGTGCTGCAACAGTACGTGGTGTCCATCAATGGCAATGATCCTTACATCAGGTGGCAGTTGGAGCGAGGCCTGGACTGGACCATATCCTCCGTGGCTGGGGAAAGCTACAGGGTGGATGTAAGCAGGACTCGTTTTCTCCCTCTGTACATTCCCCTTTATTGTTGTGGTTTATTTATTCCAGATTTTTCCACATTTGGGCACTCAATATGACTTTTTCTAAATCCAGATTGACTTCACTGATGTTCTCAAGAGCTGGGGAGCTAAAAACCTCCACATCATCCCTGACAAGCCGCTTAAAGTAAAACCTGTGTGGAGAGACGCCTGTTTCACCCTCAAGTACTACTCTGATGCCCTCTTTGACTTCTCGCACTGGTTCGGGTTCAGCAAAATAAAATTTAGCGTATGTTTATATTCTGCTCATTGAATAGCCTGTTAATTTTTAGACGTTTTGTCTACATGCATGTCTAACTTTCTACTTCTACTCTTTTTTTTTTTTTTTGTTTCCATTTAAAGTTGACACAGACATGAGCCAGCTATGGATGAAGACAAAGGGTGTCAAAGTGAAGTTGCCGTGGTTTTCTTTACCGGGGCCCGGCTCTGCTTCCTCAAGAAAGTTGAGGGATGTTTGTGATGGCAGCCTGCCAGGCAAGAACAGCTTTGGACTGAAGGAACTACTTTATTTAGTCCAGATTGCTTTTTCTTCAGTGGATGAAGATCACTGATAAGAACCGACGAGGGAAGCTCGAATGCCCTGAACATTTAAGGCCTATTGTGTGCCAAAATGTATTTTTAAAGCTGTTCATAAATATGCAGTGCACTTATTTTTATTTTTTTACAGATGATGTATGAGACTTGAAGGGTTTACTTCTGTGCTACTTCAAATACAGATGTTTTGTACTAAATAATCAGACTTTGTTGTTGAGGTTTATTTTTTTTTACCAAACTCAATTACAATAAAAGCTGTTTTACAAAATGAAAGACAACCCAGGTCAAATTCTGTCTGATACAGTCTCTCCCATTAAAGATGCTTTTTGAGAAATTTCTGTTATGTGACACATACTGGACTAAGGGATGAGGAGCAGAGCAGATGAAGCGCTGGTGATGATCTCCACGTACTCCTTGTAGTCGCTGCCATAATAATGCTCCAGAAGGTAGTTGAATATGCCCACAATGCACATCAGGAACAGAAAGAAGAGGACACGTTTCCCAAACAGGTAGCCAGGAGTGCTTTAAAGATGTAACACATTAGTTAGAAAATGCCTCAAATAATCATACATTTACTGTAGCATTGTTGCAGTGATTTACCTTTGAGAGGTTTGTCCCATGTATCCCACAAAGTACTTCTGCCTGACAACCAGGTAGATGATCCCAGCAAAGGCGGCAGGAGCTTAAAACGAAGACACAAAAATAGAATTATCCTGAATTAACTTTTGGTTCAATAATACAAAATGGTTCAAAATAATAAAGACCTGTTTCCAGGCCCAAGCTTTCCATTTTAGAAAATCTTAAAATGCTGTGCATATAAATTTAGATATTCAAGAGAAATGTGTGCTTCTCTGTAGCCAGCTTTAAGTTCGTGTATAGCTGATATCTTGATGTGAAAATAGTTATAAATGAAGTAAACGGCATGTAGCCCACATATGCAGAGGGCAAAGTGTCAAAGGAATGTTTTCAGGGCTGATGAGAGTAAACTGAAGTGGATCAAAAATTAACATTATCGCCTATATTCCAGCTACTGATTCATGATTACCTTGATTGAGACACACACCGGCACACCACATCACTGCCAGGAAAGTTGAATAAGCATCCATGCAATTACGACTGGAAGAAACCAACAAGTGTGATTAAGACATTTCCGAGACGTCTAGTGCAATAAGAAACTCTGAAGCAATAGTCATTTAGCGTCAAACAGAGGTGGGCTGATATACCAAGCCCTTTTTCTATACCTCTGTTTGAGGAAATGTTCTGAAACTGCAGAGCATAAAAGGACTATTCAAACATGCATGAGCTAAGAAAAGGTCAATGTGGCTCTTTGAGTGTTGGCGTCCAGGAAAAACTGAGTCCTAGTCAGCCTGAGCTGGCTGTTGCAATGAGTTGCAATAATCAGAGCAATGAGTTGCACACGGTGTTCTTGAAACCTCGCGTTATCTCCAGCTACAGAACAGTAGGCAGGGTTTTAAAACAACAACAAGAGGAGTAATTATTTCACATGTTTTTATCACTTTTATAAAAAGAAAAAGAAAAGAGTTTTGATTTTTGTTTTGAAGTACTGGAAACTTTTATGTCAAACCCTTGACCTTCAAACAATCTGACAAATCAAACCAGTATATGATTGATAGTTTCTTTACAAAGGCCAAAACCTCTGTGCCACATGTTAACCATAAAACCACTCCTTAAGTACATTTCTGTAACCATGTCCAAAACTCCTGAGCTTTTCATCAGTCCCCATATGAACCCCACCTTTAACCCCTTTAATCTGAATAATAAATGTTGAAATAATCCCGAACAGGATATATTCAAAAGAAGCATCCGTTTTAAACCGTCACAGATCCTTTGCTTCCCATTTTAGAGGCCCACATTAGTACTTTAACTTTGAAATCTTTCCGTTGCATACAAGAAAGGATTTGGGTCAGACATTTCCTTTAAAAGAAGGAAGTATAATGTTGCTTTTGTTCTACCAGAGCAACCGAAGAGTAGACTGAACTTTGATGTCTGTTACTACTTTAAAAAAACATGATAAACCGGGTCCAGCAATTCATGACCACTTTGTATTGATAGTTATTCATTGATTATTTTCTAATTGGCTAATCTATAAATAGTACAAAATTCTAATCCTTATGCACAAAGTGACGTATTCAGACTGTCTGATTATTGGTCCAAAACAACAAATCACATTCAATTAATGCTGAATTGAAAGAAAAAGAAAACAGGAAATCAGCAAATGCTTACATTTGTTGGAGAGACTAGTTGGCAATTTGAGTATTTCAGTTAAAATGCACTGAACATTTTTAAAACCAAACAAATAGGTGATTGTTTGATGAGGAATCTATTCAGTTACATTTACTCATGAGTCAGCTGGTAAATGTGTTTTTATACCGAGCAAAATAGTCCCACTTTTGAGACCTGGTGAGTCACCTAACTGAGAGGATTGAGGGGAAAATGTCTGAAGTCTGTTGTTGTTTTCCTAGAACACATTCAAATGATCCCTCTTATCTAAGTGTTTAGTCAAATGAGGACTGCCTCTCAATGGATGTGATAGTGAGGAGAAATAGAAATTTCAACAGAAAGTTTCTGAGCATGTTTTTCAGAAACAGAAATAATACAAATCTGTTGGTTGTTCTACTGTCAAAGATTATTTTAACACAAGAAATGAGTATCAAAAAAAGGGGGGCACTTACTTGGCGCAGGAAACTCGTTCAAAAGCAGATGTTTGGACATTTTGTCTGATGCATTCCTTTTCCACCTTCAGGGCAAAGAATGCTTTGAACACAAAGGTCATTTATGTCGTAAATCAAAACATAACTTAACAGAATTTGCAAAGAAATGAAAGATTGCTTTTTGCTTTAACTCACCATTCTGAAGAACGCTGATGAGGGTGACGATGACGAGGAGGTAGATGTTTTCCACCACGATGCTGGAGACCATGATAGTGAGTGAGTTCTCTTTACAGCTGGATGTAGAAGATAAACCTGATTTGAAACTCTACATCCTCGCCCCACTCTCCATCCCTCATACGCACACATTTGTGGCTTCCTCTTTATGTAAATGATGATCTGGCCTAACACATAGGTGTGCAAACAAGTTCCCTGTTACTTCCTCTATAGTTACTTTGCACACATGTACATATACAGGAAATTTGCATGGCCGTTATTATGTATTTCTTCATGTATTACTTCTCATCAAGGTTCTTTAAGGGGGCTTTGATGAGTTTTTGTTTTTTTTACTAGTCACATGGGGGAAAAGAGCATTTAAAAACTCAGTGTTGTTGGTCACTATATAACTTGACAAGATGTATTCCATAAGTGCTGAGATAGTGGACAATATATCATTGGGACTTTTAACTACATGTATCACTAAACTTCAGCTGTTCTGAATAACTTAAAATAATGTTACAGTAAACATATTTCTGTAGAGATGCATCGCACCTCAGAATCATGCAGGTCTGTGGTCATTTGTTAACATCCAGTTCCAGTCAACTTAAAGAACATTTTTTTGGCATCTGATTGAAAAAAGAACATCATTAGTTGCTGTTCATTACTTTTAATATCTTATTCTGCTTGTAGAACTAAGTTGTATAAGAGACATCACAATTGAGGTTGAGCTGTTGTATCAAATATCAACAGGGCAGGGATCTGTTTTGGTATGAGGCTGCAGGTGGAGTACCTATGATTGGATCACAGCTGTGCTGATATTCAGTACAACTGCACTCCCCCTCCTGTAGTATTGCCATATTACACTTGTTGTTTTTTAGTCAAGCCCAAGAGCATTTTTAGAGCAGAATTTAATGTATGCTAAGTGCATTCATGATAGTAAAAACTGTGTATCTTAATTTAACGTTTAAACACTCAACAATAAATAATGTAAAAGTAAGTCACGGTGCAGCAAATCAGTGTCATTCTCTGTGACGGTAACTATGTCATTTTGATCCTAAAGGCAGGATTGTCTTATTAAGGAGTACAAATGCTGTATAACAAAGGTATTGGTAGCACACGCTTTCACTGAGATTGCTCTAAAATACTCTATTAAAACACAAGTAAATGAAATTGTATTTGACAATCCTATATTCAGTAAGTGGATAACAATAGGTACATAGTTGATCCCACCGCTGGTCTTTTTGTAAAATAAATGGTGTGTTATTACACTCAATTAACTTGACAAGCTTTTTCTGACTTGGCTGCCCTACAGTCAAACAGCACCTTCAAGTGCTTTTCACTGGTAATGCAGCTTCCTCCTTTGACATTTTCTGTTAACATTGTCATACATTTAAAAAAGCTAGGTTGTTGATATTCTAGGACAGTAACAAACAAAAAGGGAAAACAGAGACAGCGACTACTTCATCCGTCTCTGTCTCATCCAGAATGACTGCCAGAGTGCCAATATGTCTGACAGTGTGATGAATAAAAACCTTGGGCAAACATTCACTGAATGAATAGTTCCTTAATCTGTCGTTTTGTGCATTGAATAGCAATTGAACATTTTACTTCGTCTATTAACCAAAAGTAAATATATATATATATATGATGAAGGTATTTTGGAGTAAGATATAAAAAACCCAGAGAAACAGTGTTGTTGCATGTTTTAGCACAGCAGGCTAACGAGAAAGTATGATTAATTAATCGACTGATCAAAGAGGAATATGGCCTTGAGCACTTGAACCATCAATAGAGACAAAACACATTCTCATTCTTTAGGATACATGTAACCCAAAGATCCGCCAGTGTATACCTGTTTACATTTTGAAATCTCTGTCGCAGCCCTTACGGTATGTAAACACAAACATGGCCACCATCAGCACGTCCCATATGGTCTAGCGGTTAGGATTCCTGGTTTTCACCCAGGCGGCCCGGGTTCGACTCCCGGTATGGGAACGACTCTTTTGATCCTCACCTTCCTACAACGATGATACGCTTTTAACATGACACCCAAGACAGGTGAAACACATCGTTATGTGGTTGAGACACTATAACCTGTCCTTATATACTTAAGATTGGTGTAACTATCAGCACACTATCTCCACACAGGAACAACTAGACGCACTTTAACAACTGTGAAAGAGCTGATCTAAGTAGGCAGTGTGGATTGATTTAGGGGTAGTTATGAATAATTAGGATAACGGAAAATATAGTAACTCGATGCTTTGTTTGATGACATGAAAAAGTAATTGTATTGGCCTTAACTTAAAAAAAAAAAAAGAGGGTGGTGATTCAATTTGGACGGGTATAGCTTCATTACTTTAACTGATTTTGTTAAATATTTAAGAACACATTTCCCTGACTACAGTGTTTTGTTGTATTTCCAATTTGCACTAACTTTCTTTATAGGGACCATTTAAATTAAGCTTTTATAGACAGACAATCCAGAGTCAGAAACCAATTATACCCATTTATTCCACATAACTAAATTAACCAATGGTCAATATTTATTTAAAAGGAGGAGGTAACTATTGGGTGTTTTTTTTTTTTTAACAAGTATTTCATGGATTAATATTTAAAATTAAAAACCTGTGTTGATAGCTAATCCTCTCTCAGAAGCTGGTTGAGGTGAGCATGATTTTGTCAAAACAGTGATAGGAGTGATTCTGGAGTCATCTAGAGAATTTATTAAATGACACAAAACATGTATCATGTGAATTCAAGTAATTTGTCATATAACTTAAAAAAACAGCAAACAAGCTGCTTCAGATGTAAACATAATAACTTCATACAACCCAAATGCATACATTATGTATATAGGTACTGTATGTATACAGCTAAGTGCCAAAAGAGTGGAAAAAAAGCTGTGATATTTTACAAATTCAAGACTGAACATGCACACAGTTTTTATTGGATCTATTGACATTTATATCAACATAAATGCATCCTGATGTTTCATTATTTTCATATTAGTTGGCAGTCTAGGACCACAGTCAATTTGGCATAGTTTTTGAGGCAACTACTATCCCCAAAGCTCAGACAAAAAAAGGGCTTCCAGTGCCTCTGTCTCCTCGTCAGTCGGCCTCTGAGATTCTGCCTGCAACAAGAAGTCATCCATGAAGTTTTCACTAATTGGCTCATTTACGCAAGTGTTTATCTGTGACGTTGCAACTCTAGCTCCTCCCAACTGGTAGACACCATCTTTCCCATTTGCCAGCATCTCAAGTAAGCCAGTGCTGTCTGGCGAGAGGTTGCTGGCTGTGGTTGCAGGCGAGAGCAGGTCAGAGAGGGGGTCGTCGCAGATGGAGCTGTCGTATGTGCTGGAGGTGACGGTGCCGGGAGAGCCCAAGTCGGTGCTGTCTGGTCTGAGGCTAGTTCTGCCTTGATGACCCAACATTTCATTAGCTTAGCAAGCTTCTTCTTCTTCGCCTTCAGTTTCTTGATTAGCTTGTACCGGAGGGCTTCAGTCGTGCTGACACCTGGAGGAACCTTCGAGGAGCTGCTGTGTTTCTTTGAGGAGTAGATTTCCTTTTCTCCAAGAACAGCGAGTGATGTGCCAGACACCTTTGTAGCGTTCGTCAGTAAATTTGGGGGATTGAATGGGATTGATTTAGCACTGATAAGTGCAGGGGTTGGAAGCACACTTTGTGTGTTTGAGGTCTTTGCACCGAATGCTCCGTACATTTCTGCAGCTTTCAGTGGGAGACCATCAGTTTTTTCTGTCTTGAGCGGTGGTTTGGGGTAGACGGCTGTAGAAATCTGCTGTTTTCTTACAGGGTTTGGTGTAGATTGAGAAAGAGGAATGCGTTTCTTTACTTGTACAACTGGGGTGGGGGGGACTTTAGAAATCGGCTTGACACCTTTGTGTAGTGGGTTTTTGCTGAGGAGGAAGGACAAACGTGCATTCTGATCTAGCGTTGGAGGCATTGCGGGACTATCCTTACTCGAGCACAAGGGTGAGGTGTCAGAAGAAGAAACAACTTGGGAGCTTCCTGTGTAGCCTCCACAGGTGATGGGTTAACCTGAGCTGGAACATCCACAGGTTTGTGACTGATCACTTTGGGCGGCTCAGGAAATGCAGAAGTAAGTGGGGCAGCTTTGGATGAGGCTGACTTTCTTGTGTTTTGTCTGCCAACAGTTTGGCCTCTGCCAACTCCTCTTCCTCTCCTCCGTCCCCCCTGCCACGTGGCAAAAATGTGGGATCACTCGACGAGCTGTCCTCAGATGCAGAAGAGCTGGAGAGGGTGGGGAACTCTGCTTCAGAGCCATGAGAGTTTTTATTACATGTAACAGTTGAGGAGCTGTCAGGTGTAGAGTCAAGGTTTTCAATCCTACTGGAAACAACCAAATCCTGATTTTGTTGGATGTCATTTAGAGGCTGTGTTTCGGAGTCAGGTTTTAATTCCACAAGTGTGAGTGTAATGATGTCATTATGGCTGAGGCCTTGGAAGGTGTCAAGAAGTGTTGTTGAACCTATGGATGCATCCAGACCAGCCGTGATTGTCGAGTCTTCAGGTGCTGAGAGCGCACACATGATGTCCGTGTCATTGTGCAATGTAAAAATCGACTGATCTGAGTGCGAGCCAAAAGTTGATCTGCTATTAAGTCTTTGTCGCACAGACTGGAGTTCATCTTGTTTGGATAGGGGAGTTTCAGTAAACGTGCTGGAGGGAGAACAGACGTGATGCTCCTTATCGTCCTCCGCCTCCCAGAAGACGATGTGCATCTCGTGAGCAGGGACCGGGAGAGTCAGATGAGATTCCCAGTCTGGATGTTTCAGGTCGTCGTACTCCAGCCAGGATCCTGCAGCACACAGTCAATACAATCCACGGTTACTACAAGAAAGCAGCTTTCATTTTCATACAGATGTGTTATTAGATTCTGATCAACTACAAGACCAAGGCTTATATAACATCTTTTACCAATTACTTATTACTTAATGTGTATTTATCACAATGATCTGTTCTCACAATATATTCTGTAAAGAAACATAATCATGTACAAAATGTGTTCAAATTATTTAATATGAATAACTTTATTTATATAGCTCCTTTAAAAACTAATGTTTACAAAGTGAGTATATATTATTGTATATAAACACTTGTACATGTTGTTT